TTTTAAGTTCACTTAAATTGAAGTTCAAATAATCTTGAATTTAATTTCAAAAGTTTCAAATTCAAATATTACCTTGAGATTCATGCCGATCATGCAAAATTTTATGTAGACATATCAACCTTTAACAAAGAAATCTTCATCAAGTTTTGAAAAGATGAAAACTTTTTGTTATTCATTGGGAGGATTGGTGGTAGATGAGCACGAAAACACAGGTAGTGATCCTTCGACCTTCATCCCTCGACAATGATCCTTCGACCTCCATACCTTGACTATAATCCTTCGACCTCCATCCCTCGACTACAATCCTACGACCACCATCATTCAACTATAGTTCTTTGACCACCATCGCCCAGCTAAGGTCATTTGATCATCATCTCCCAACTATAGTTCTCAAATCACTATCATGTAACTACGGTTGTCCAGCCGTCATTGCTCGACTACAATCTCTCGACCACTATCACCCGACTACAATCCTCCAAATACAATCATCTAACTACAATCCTTCGACCATCGTCACCCAATTATAGTCCTTCAACCACCATGACCAAATTATAGTCCTCCGATAATCGTCGCTCAATTACTATCATCTGATCGTAGTTGCCCGACTATAATTCTTTGTCCACTGTCTCCTAATTCTGGTTCTCCGACCACTATCGCCTGAAGACTGTTCTTCGATCACCATCACTTGACTACGGTCCTTTGACCATTATCGCCCAACTATAGTCCTCCGACTATACCGGACTACCATCCTTTGACCAACATTACCCAGCTACAACCTCCAACTACCGTCACCCAACTAAGATCCTTTGACTACCGCTAATCCTTTGATCAACGTCCTGGCTAAACCGATGCAAACTAATTTCATCAACTACCTTTGCTAATAATTCATGCCATCAACACTACTTTGACTACAAATATTAACATTACAATGTAAATTGGAATTCTTGGTTTATGATCTTGATGTGGAATTCTGCTACCTTATAGTATTCCGCAGTATCACTATACCATTAGAATGCTCTCTGCTTTTTCTGTTATTTAGCATTATTCCCCACTACTTCTTTAACTAACTAAAGGACTATAGTACTTTTACCTTTTTGAGAGTTGCTGCACTTTTTGTAGAAAGCTGGGCTTCTCTTATACCGGAGAAGAGGCTTGAGCAAGACAGTTTTATCTTCTACATTGAAATTAGCTACAGTAGTTCTACTGTTTTATTGAAATTATCTTGCATTGTCCCCTGTTTTTCCATTGTTCTATTGCTTCCACAGCAGATCTCCCCGCCTCAAATGAGAACGATCATATCAACAAAAAATAACTCCTATGTCTCAAGAATCTTCTAACTTCTACTACATTCATTTTGTATAGTGTGTGTTTACTATATTATCAACACCATTGCAATCACGAAGGGTATTATAATTGATGATAAACATTAGTGAGATCTTTTTAACTGGATCATATTATGTGGTTATTTTCTCTTCTGGATTTTCCACATAAAAATTCTGGTGCCTCTTGTAGCTTTATTCTTATTTGTTTGTATAATGGTTCTTCATACAAAATTAATACAAATCTTTTTGTGCCACTGTGATTGTTATGGAATGCAACATTGATATTCTTCTATTATTTGTGAATGTAATCATTCTATTAGTAAAATTATTTAAAATCTAACTACGTATTTCTACTGTGTTGCTTGAATGCAGAAAGTGCTTAATGGACTCCAGCACACTATATAAGTAATGTGGGAATTTTAAACTCCATCCTGTGTGTCCTGTGATGATGCCAAGAGCTTCTATATCTTTAGTACCTTGCATGTATATAAATATTTATAAATTATTGAAAACTCCCTTTTAAAAACTAGTTAAACGGGAGATATTCCATCAAAATTTCATAGTTTTGTAAGTATGTAATTTCACTGCTTATGATTAGGAATGAGAAAAGGATATTATACTTTTGAATGATTTTATTTTGAGTGTTGATATAATCCAAATGTGAACACTCTGATGATAATTTTATATGAATTTATTACGCTAATTTTGGGTGTTGATGCATTCAAACATGCAATAGACAAAAAGATTGTAACAACATCATATTTTCTCCACGCCCAATCTTTATTTTAGTAATGTGTGGCAATATTCTCTCCATTCATTGAGGCAAATAAAGAATATATTTGCCAATATCTCTAATTTTATTTAAAGTGTGATATATCCAAGCACTCCTTTTAAAGATTGTTGACCTCGATTTTGGCTCAAGTGTGCTCGAGCCCTTTCGATCGATCTAATTGAATCCCTTCGAGCCCAATTTGAACTCGAACCGACTCGACTCGAGCCGGATTTGACTCGACCATGTTCGATTAGACTCGATTATTTTATTTTGATTGCGTCGAGCTTGATTCAATTTAAATTAGCATTGGTTTTGAATTTAATTTCGTGCAATTTGATTCGTCGCGCCGGCTCGAACCCGAATTGATTCGAATTGAGTCAAATTCAGGCTCGAGTTTAATCTAATTTTAACCCAATGAGACCTGTTTCGATTCAATTTAATCCTGGCCAAATTCCTCTAACTTTCTAATTAATTTGAATCTATTTTCCTGATCGAGTGATGGTCTCGACGGTCCGGATTGCCCCGAATTTCGAGTTCTGTCGCAATTGCAGACTTCAGTCGCGTGAGCCCCTGAATTGGTAATCGATTCGAACGACTGTGCGAAGGAGCAGAAGGTCGCAAGGCTATTTCGATGATTCGAGCAAAGCAGGACGTGGGGAGATGCTTAGAAGACCGAGAGGAAGCCTTCGGCTACCTCATTCGCTCCCGCTCCCTCTCTCTCCCGCTCCCTATCTCTCACGCTCTCTCCCACTCTCTCGGTCTCCCTCTATTCGCGCGACCAGCCACAAGCCAAAGCCCAGCCGACTCCTCTCTGGTTCGCGAAACGCTAGCCCGGCGACGTCGGTCTCCCTGATTCGCGAAACGCCAACCCGACCTCCTCAGCTCAGGAACACCCGACACCGCCCGAGCTGGTCCAGATCTCCCTCCTGGACGGATCTTCTCCCGTCATCCCTAGCTGTGAGCTTCTTGTTGCTTACAAGGTGAGTCTTCCTCCTTCTTCCCCTTTTCCCCTCTTTCTCATTCCTATTTCTTCATGCTAGTCTCAAAATGGAAGAAAAGAACAATATTTGAATCAAAATCTGGAATTAAATTTTCTGTTGACGTTCTTTTCTTCCTCCTTTCTCATTCCCCCTACTTCTCTCTTAATTCTCAATTCACTTTTACATGATTTTATAGTCAAGCATTGAGGGTTTAAGTGCTGTGCATTTGAACTTGAGCAATCCATCTTAGAAGTGCAGTAGTA